AAATGTTGGGTGCTGTGGCGCTAGAGGTGTCTTGTGTGCTAGGCCTGGTCAGGCATGGCTTTGTAGCCACGGTATATCCTGCCGATGCCCAAGTCATTCTCAGGCTGCCGGGCACCTCAGCTCAGATGCGCCTTCTTGCCTCACTTCTGACATGCAGCTTTGCTTGTGTGGTGATCGGGTTCCAGTCTATGCAAAGTGCCCCGGCCTGCTTGGTGAGGCTTTTCACCTTGAGGCGCAGCCTAGTGCCGATTCTGGCCTGCCCTTGCAGACGAGCGCCACACCGCATTTTCACGATGCCCGTGCTAACCATGCCCTTGATGGATTTTCTCTTTCGTGTGTTGGGTGCCTCGGCGCTCGAGGTGGCTTTGGCGCTAGGTGTGGTCAAGTTTGGCTTTGCAGCCGCGGTATATCCTGCCGATGCCCAGGTCATTTTCGGGTTGCTGGACACCTCGCTGATGGCCTTTGCTCTTGTGCCAGCTTGCCTCTGAATGCCTACTCTTCATGTGACGGCGGGTGCCCGAGCGCTGGTGGCCGATGTTGTGCTAGGCGAGGTCGCGTGTGGCTTTGCAGCCCCGGTAAATCCAGCCCATGCCAGCGTTGCTGCCGTGCAGCTGGGCCCCGCAACTGTGCCCGCTTTGCGAAGTGCACTGGGCTCATAGGTGGGGCTTTTTCGGCTTTTCATTTTCGAGTCGGCACATGGCTTCTTGGCTTGTGTTCCCCTTGCTGCAGCGATCGCTCCGGTGGCCCGGGCCAAGCTGACACTGCCCCCATTTGCCACTCTGAGCGTTGGTCTGGTAGTCCCTATGCAGGGGTCCGTGTCGGAGAAGCGTCACACCCTGGACCGAAAGCACCTAAGGGACTTGACCTTGGTTCGCTTAGCTTTCTGGGTCCGGGCCTCATTGACTCGATCCAGCAGGCCATCAAGTCCCTTTTGGAGCAGGCTGTGCAGCAGTCCTTAGGGCAGGTTCCGCCCAAAACACAGCCTATCAGTGCCAAGGCGCGTCGGCGCCTTAAAGCCAAGGCCCGCAAGGCCTCTACCAATAGACGCGCGGCCGGTGCGTCAGCTTCCCCGGCCCCTTTGGCTCCCTCTGCTGCCCGTGCGGCCCCGCAAGGCAAAGGTGATGGAGGTGCACCAGGCAAAGGCGCAGGCAAAGGCCAAGGTAAAGACAAGGGCCCAAACCTGGGCAACGTGCAGCCCCGACCCCCTCAGCCCGCCACCCCTCCTTCGCAAGAAGGGGAATGGTCCGTCGTGAGTCGCCGGCATGAGCCCGTTGCCGAGGTTGAGCTTCGACAGCAGGATTGGGACAGTGAGATTGTACGCTGCGAGGTGCTTGCTTCTAAGCTTGAGGCGTGCAATGATGTCTTCAAGGCAGTCATTCGATGTGGCAGGGGTCAGCTTAGTACTCCACGCACCCTTCTGCAGGGATCGGGCAAACCCCACAGCGTGCTTTTGATCGAGTTTTGCAAAGATGCCCCTGTTGACGCATCGACTAAGGAGCAGTCGTCTCAGGACAAGGCCGCGCGCCAACGGGTGCCGGTCAAGGCCGGTAACTTTGTCAAGTTCCTTGAGGCAAGGGTTTTCCAGATTGCCAGTGCTGGCGAAGCCGTTGCTCAGCCCAAGGGTCTTGCCACGGCTGCCAAGATCCAACCCAAGGCCACCACGGCTCTCTTCTGCCGTGTGTCACAGGAGTTTGCTACGGCCGAGGTCTGGAAGAAGTTTGGCACTGCCCCGCGTGATGCCATCGCCCGTTGGGCTGCCACCTCGCGAGTCCACATTGTCGATGCCTTCAAGTGGTCTGAGGAGGTTTTCCCAGGCAACAGGCGACAGGTATATGGAGTTATCCGTGTCCCGGAGCCCGACGCCTCTGCCTTGCTTGCGCAATCCGGTGCCGGCGGTGTTTTCATTTCTATGCCGAAGGCTGCTGCTAGCTCGCAGTATGTGCAATGGATCCCCAGAAACACCTCTGAGCCCAGTGCCGCCTACCTCGCCCGGGCCTTCCGAGGCAAAGGGGCTCTGGGGCTTGTCTTTCGTGGCTCCAACCTTGGAAGCCGGCACCATGCCGACGCAAAGACCCTCATCCCGCGCATTTGGATCTTGGAAGGTCTGCCTTCCATCCTCGATATGGAGCAGGCCAAATCTGTGCTCGAGCCTCTGTTTCGTGAGCTTAGCATCATTCGGCTAGTCCGCAAGAATGGATCCAAGCAGTTTATTTTCCGAGGGGCGTGTGTTCGAGGCAATGAAGCTGACCTCGTGCCAATTGCCGTTGAGGTCGAGGCTCTGGGAGAACAGAGCGCGCAGGCAACGCACGTTGCATGGGCCCGCCTGGCGCCTCCCAAAGGCGAGAAGGTTAAGCAGCGCGCCATTCATGGTGCTTCCGTTCCCTTTGTTAAGGAGGACAATGCCTTCAGCCCAAAGCCGGTTACCGTCGAAATCCCTGCCCCTCCGAAAGCTGATGGTGCCGCCGATGGTGCCGCAAAGGACGAGGCAGGAAAGCCGCAGCCCCCGGCCAAGCGGCAAAAGGCTCTTCTTCGGCAGGTCCCTGAAGGCACCAAGCTGATGCCGCAGGACAAAGATGGCAACTGCATGTACCGATCCATTGCGTGTGCTCTCAACCACGGGCGCAAGGAGTCCTCCTTTCATCATCTTGAGCTCCGTGCTCGCGTAGCCTCTCACCTCGAGGAACACGCTTCGTGGTACGAAGAGGAATGGAAAGCTGATGACTGCAAGGGGTCCGATGGCACTTCACTTCCCAATTGGGCGGCCTTCGTCGCGGCTGTGGCAAAGCCGGGTTCTTTTTCAGGTGACATCGAGTTAAAGGCCCTCTGCAAGTTGTGCAAAATCAAGGTCGTCCTCATTCCTGAGGACCCGGCCTTTGCTGTTGTTGCTTATGGCAAAAAGTGGCAGTCCAAGACTCACTGTGTTTTCTACACTTCAAACCACTTTGACTACCTGGCACCGGTTGCTGATAAGTATAGCAAAGAGCTGCTTGAGGTTTCGGCCGACCCGAACGGCGGTTTCCTGGTAGGAGGGGTCTCTGAGCTTGCTACCGAGTCTTGTAGCAGTCGCGGTGCCGGCACCAGGGCCGCTGACTTGCGCACGGAGTCCTCGCGGCGCACCAAAGGCCTTTCCGTCGCCACCCCGGCCCGTGGCTCTGAACGCGGCCGCTCTCAGGCTTCACTGCCCCAGGTCCCGTCTGGTAGCCAGGCAGGTCACAGGTGTAAGGCCAGGTCCGAAGAAGCCCCGGGCAAGCGGCTCCGCACTGTGTCCTCGGCCCATTCTTGTGCTCCTCCGTCTGACGTGTCTGGTCGGGCTTCCCATGGGCTTGCCTCCGACCTTCCAGAGCTTCCGCCGGAGCCTGTTGTCTTGGATGGTTTTGTCGATCCTCGGCAGCGCCCTACCAAGGTCCGGTGCAAGAATAAATACACCTTTTGCCGACTTTGCCCATGGACCCGCCAGTGTCGTGACCACGACCAGGCTGCCAGCTTGCAAAAAAGGCACTTTGCCACTCACCACCCTGGCCTTACTCCTACGGGACAGTGCCAGCGGGTACGCGGCCCCCAGCTAAGCTTGGTACGTGACATTGGTAAGGCCCCCGCGTGGTGGCGATGCCCTCTGTGTCCTCAGGAATCGACTTTGAAACTGGCAATGCCTCGCCAGCTAAGCGCATCTTGCAGGCTGTTCGTGAGCACAAAATTGCCTGCCACCCCCGCGTTCGGTGGCTGAAGTGGGCCACGCTATCCTACAAGGATCGTGCCGAAAAGGCGACAGTCACGAGGTTTAATGCCAGCTCTGCGGCCATCATTTCGAAGAAGGCGTGCCTGCTGGAGAAGTTTGAGGTTTTCCGTTGGCCGCGCAAGGTTGGGCTTAGGTCGCAGGCGATCTCTCCCATTGCCTTTCGGGTTGCCTGGGTGCGCAAGACCTGCCACGCCACGTGTCGCACCGCAAAGTTCGCTGAAGAGCATGCGGCGACCAATTGTCCCAGCAAGGTTGTGTCGGGCTTACTGAAGGTCTGGGCTCACGGCCGTCTCAGCACCCTGGCGGAGGACAAGAAGATTTTTCTCCAAGGCCCCAATTCAGGTGAGGCCAAGGCGCGAGGTATTGCCCTCTTTGACCAGGCCCAGGTTGTTTTGGAACGTCAGCTTCGGGCCCTTGGTGCCCCAGTGCCGTGTTTCTAAGGGCATTGTCTTTCAACGCCGCGTCCAGGGGTGTTTCTTGTGGCGCGGCGCTTCGTCCTATCCTGGCGCGTCATTCCATTTCTCTTGTGGCTATGAGCGAGGCCAACATCCCTGCTGCCTCCCGTGTTGCCTTTGCTGCCAAGTGGAAGCGGCATGGGTGGTTCGTGGTCTTTAGTGCCCCCGAGGAGCAGTCATGTCAGGCGTGCCTCCTGTCCCGGATCCCTCTTAAGCAAGTCTCGGTCTGCAGCCAAGACGGTGCCACTAGGCATGCTGCTGCCCTCCTTGATCTTAAAAGTGCCCGTGGCCATGAGCCTTTGCTGGCTGTGGCAGTTTACCTGCAGAGCGGCAAGCCCCTGGTTGCGCAGGCCCAGGCCAATGACATCCTTGCTGGTGCTCTTTCCTCTGGTCGGCGGTGCCTTGTCTTTGGTGACTGGAATCTCGTACAAGAGGAGGGCGACCTTGCTGCTCTGTTGCAGGCCAATGTTGTTCACTCGTGCGATGAGGCTGCGTGGGGTCAGGAGCTTCCTCCTACCGGCCCAGTCTACCGAGGCTCGCGTCGCCGCAGGCTGGATTATCGGGGACTTTCGGGCTACTGCGGTGGACCATATTGCCGAGGAGGAGGTGGGCTCGTTGTCGGATCACCGCTTGCCCTTTTACACGTTTGATGCTTCGGCTCCTCCTGCTCTTCGTGGGCCCAAGCGTCGGCAGCTGCTCGACAAGGATTTGCTTCCTCCGGCCGATGGGGCTTTGCCGGCGTCGGAGGTGGACTCCTTTCACGAGTGCCTTCAGAGAGGGGATGTGGACGCGGCTTGGCGTTGCCTTTCTGACATGGCCGAGGACTTGGTGTGTAAGCCGGTTGGCTCGACTCAGGACTTTGTGCCGCGGAGCCAGGAGTGGACCCCGCAACCGGGAAAGGTGCGCACTGACTTTGAGGCCGAGATGGACAAATCTCCTGGCCTTCGGGCCCTTCGCCGTCTCCACGCCCGATTGCTGCTGTGCGCTGGCGAGGAAGAGGCGCGCCACCCTCGTGGGCGCCTGGTTGATGACTGCCAGCTCGCAGAAGCCGCCG